TATAAAAGTGGATTTTAAGAAACGGTCAGTTCACTATATTTTTTGGGATTATAGTTAACATTTACAAGTATGTCGCTACTGTTGTGTGACCTAGACGGCTGGAACGTGAAATGAATTTGTGAGTAGTTTCAGGAATATCAGTTGTAGTGTAGGATAGCTGGTTATTGAAGGTATATATACATCAGTTTTCATACTGACATTCAACAGTACAACGGACACAAATTATCAGCCTTTTGGATAGAGTGGTAGTAAAGTTATTGATGCTATACTTGTGAAATTCTCGATTTTAGAAAACCCAGTCACCAGAATTCTGGTGATAAATCTCCTGACTTCGGGGAAAATTGTTCGTTTTGGGTAATCCCAACAGATGCGAGCAATATTTATAAGGCATCTATGGTCAAATACTAGTAACTGACGAGTATCTTTTCTTAATAGCCACGTTTCGCAGCCGTAAAGTAGAAGTCCGGATTGATGCTATAAGTCAGTGTTAGAAAAATTTCAAATTATTACGTTCATAAACTCCAGAACATCCGTAATAAGTTCCCAGTGAACGACGCCAAAGCACTAACCAACATATAGACCTACTGCACCAAACTATTATATTTGCGACAGACCTTGAGGAATGATGTCATCCTATCTATGACAATGTGTGCAAAAGAGGAGTAATTACCTAATAATGTTGTTTGGGGATACAGATGCACTTGTAAAGTATATGTCAGTGTACTTCACGTACACTCTTGATTTACAATAGAGCACTTCAATATACCTATAGTACTAGAGGGAAAATCTGTCAGTAGAGTTAGAAACTTTTCGAAAATACTTAGTTTCACTGCACTGTTACTACTTCTGCATCTGAAATTGTATGGATTTAAATTGTGTTAACAGATTGTTTCTTCATTGTTTGTAATTTCACTATATACGTTCATAGGAAACTTGAGATAGCACAAACAAATGCATTCTATGGTAAACAAAATGTCAGTATTATAAGTTAAATACTCCCATCATATATTATATTAATTCATAAAGTCTATCAATTTCTGAAGATTCAATACCAATCAAACCGAATTAGCTGAAAACTCATTAAATATGTTGTTTCTTTGAATATAGTTTATTTGTAATATGTTTTTTACTACTGAGATATCTTTTCTGAACTTGTGTATAGCCAGGAACTTAAGAAGAGGCGTTGTATGGGAAAACGGAACTTAATATTTACTCAAAAGATTTGTCAACTTACGAAAGATACAGCCCTGTCTCATTATCATAATCGGTAACTGGTTTAAAATATCCAACTTGTTGCAATCTATAGATTGTTGTATGAGTTCTCCAGAACTAAAGAATGTGAAGTACTCAAAAGTTAGTTGCAAATTTTCTGCCTGATACAGAGTATACTTATTAGCTATTTATTTGTTCTCATAGCTTATAAAGAAGATTTTTCAAATATGGCAGTGGAACTGGTCATAAAACTTGTAAAGTATTTTCCTTTAGATGTTTAAGCATCGTGTTATCGTGGTAAATGTAGGATGTCACTCACTCCTGATTACACCTTAGGAAATGATAGCTTTCGTATTTGTCTTATTGCTCATATATACGTCGTCTTTTGCAATAGACAATTTGTAAATGTCCCTTCAGTTACAATCAAGCAGTTACCAGCTTAGCTGATTATCAGCTTAAAATCAGTATTTTTAACTACATTTCAGTCAGTCAGCTACAACGTAGGGCCAGGCACATATATGCATCGGTCCAGGTTGCCATACTTCATTAGCACAGCAAGGTGAACACCGGATTCATAGGAGTAGTTAGGTCAAAGGTGGTAATATATAGGAGAAAGATTGCATTTATTCATACTCATATCTTCTCATTTACATGGACACGTAGTGTCGTCCGCCTAGAGGAGTTAAAAAAAACCTGATTCCAAACCAGTGGTGTATATGGGCTCCAGGATCCTGAAGGAACAAATGGCCGCCGGATACTATGGGACTGCATCTCCTAACGTTGCCCCACTGCCTTGCGTATCAGACCTTTAGGCCGAAGACTCCGAGTGTGACCCCCTAAGAAAACCACCTGCTTCGGTCTGGACACCCGGACAGTATCACAGCCCACACACAAATCAATTGACTTGTGTGGCGCATTTGTATTTGGTGCTACTTTGTACCAATATTCATTTGTTCAAATAAATAAGTAGGAACCTTACCTATTGTATGAAGCAACTTAAAATACTGTACTGTATTTACCCACAACTACATGTATACAATTGCTTAATGCTTTCATGGATCACTTAATAAGTCATCTTTATTGTGCTATGTAGAACCTCCATGTTGCCGTACAGTATGCTTGAGTTGCTTCCATGCGCACAGCATTACTGAAAAAGCTATTCGAATTAAAACGAGAGTTGCTCGTCGTCGCTCATCACTTCAAATTGATCAAGTAACAAGAAAACAAAATAATACTTAACTGTTAGGTATTTATCTGCAAACTATGTGGTGCGAAAGAAGTGTCTCGTGGATTTGTACCTAAAGAATACAAGTGGTAGGTAATGTGAAATTTATTGATGTGGTTTACCAATGATATTTTAACTGGTTTTTTTGGGAGGGGGCGGTTACTGAAGCTACTTGCGATCTACAGATAAACCTATTAAGTACCACATTTTTTAAGTAGTGATGATTCTCCTGAGATAACTTTTTTTCCAGTTCCCCTCACCTACAATATAATAATCCTACTTGTACTTTGTAGTAACTGTAAAACTTCATTAGTCAGACGCATTTTTTCACAACTCTGTAATTTATGTAGTGTCGTTCCAGTCAGTTCAATAAACTGAAAACCTGACATAATTACATGATATTTCCAGTTATGATTTACTCCTTTTTTAAGGCATCATAACAGAGGTGTAAGCAAGATAATTGACCAAAATATGAATCTGATTCGGGTGCAGGGAATGCAAATTAATTTTTAAACCATATGATTGAGATCCCAGCTATACTATTTTCACATAGGATATTGGATGTTCTCTGCACTTTAAAATATATTAGTTGACTGTAGATTACTGAACAGTATGCACATCTAATGTTAAGGAGATAAACATATCGTTTGTGTAAGAGGTGCTCCTTTTTTGTACGTGCCCTGTGGTTATTTTAGTTACGAACACGTCATTATTGCTGTTACTCTTCAAATAAATGGAACGGTAGATGCTTTTAACCAAATCGCTTTCTTACAGTTAAACTTGGGGCTAAGGTGAAATAAATTGTGAAAAAGTATTTGACGTTTAGTAGAATGATAAACTCAAGTCGTATAAAAATAAAGAGAATTCAAGTCGTATATTTGCGCTTATTCACTCGAGAAGGGGAAGAAAAGATACTAGGTAGCATACCGGTCTTCGGCTGTTGTGAACATCCTCCTATCACAAGAAGGTAGGTGGTAAGCAAAAGTTTCCTGGCCAAAACTTCAAGTGTGTGGTTTTGCCAGTGTTTTTATGGAAAAAGTGGTTTATAGTTATTCACGAAACAGATCTATTTTAAATTGCATATTTCCACATATATATAAGATTTAAAATTCCAAGTTCCTTGCCAGATTTCAATAACAAACTATCATCATAATAGTATCAGTAATAATTTGTAAAATTCAAATCATAACAAAGGTGTAGCGTAAAACCTCAGATAGTCCAGTGGATGCTTATAACCAAAGAGAAAGAAAATAAGCAAATAAACATTATTTTCTGTTGTAAATTAAATGGTTTGAAAAATGTATCTTTAAAATTAGAGATACCAGGAAAACCAAGTGAACAAACCTCGATACAAAGTTTAAAATGATAAATAAGTGTACATAACGATACAACAAGTCGTATAATTCGTACTCGATATACTTAATTTATACATTGAAGTTAGAAAACCCGGAATTTTCACTGGTTCAATTATTCTCTAACCATACATTGAAATATCAAAATAAACCTCAAGATTGCTATCTTTATAGTTAGCGTGATATTAAACTGACTTAAATGTTTTTTACAGAGTCTTACATCTGTATAAGATTATCTTCTTCGTGAACTGATACACTTAAATTAATAGTTTTCACCCAACGCAAGACCTGAAATCGATCAAGTTTGGGGCTGTGGACATATTTATGAGAAACCTCAAACTAGTGTGAAGCTGTTGTTCAATTTACTCTGGTTTTTAGTGGCTCTAAAGTTGCTATCATTTTATGATCATATCTTCCCTCAAACCCTATCATATTCTTTCGGTATCATAAACCCACCTAATTTAGCGATCCATCGAAAACCAGAAAACACTGGACAGCCGCTCTGTCATAGTATGGTATTCCTCAGCACTGCACTTCTACAACCTCACCAGGGATCAAACCCAAAAACCCTGGTCTCGCGGCAGAAACCCAACTTCTAGACTATTGAACCGGGATTGAATGGTGCATATATCTAAAGTCCACCAATCCGTGATATCTTGCAACCGCCTTCCATTGCTTTTAATGAATGTTTAACTTGGGTCGGTTTGTGATATTAATAATCTCCACAAACCAACCATATATATTAACCTAGCTTATGCATTGACTATACTCCAGTATCCTTTGTTTCATTTTACATTCAATTTCTAAAATAATTCCTCATTCCTATTTAAAACCTTAGCCCAATGAAGAAAAGTACTTCACAAGAAACATCTGTCACAGAAACAAAGAAAAAAACCAAGTTGGTTTTTTTCCTATTTCTACTAATTAATCAATATTATTTTTAATAGGAAAAAGAAAAAGTCTAAAATGAATATTTTCAAGACAGAAACCGCTCATACGACGACGATGCCTATCAAAACTAAGCCAGTGTCATCTGTTAATACATTTACAACATTTATGTCATCTTTATGCTAATTTATGTATGTACAGAATCTTTTTACGAAAGTACAACTTTCCATATACAGTTCCAGTTGATTTTACTCTTTTTTAAAGATATCAGTGGATTTTAACTATTAATTTAGTTCGTATTTTTTGTTGCTTCAGTAATTTTTATGACTAGTAAAAGTGAAATTAGACAAAGAATGCGAAGAATTCTGAGACAAATATTACCATCGGTACACATGAAGAAATCAGAATACCTCTTAAAGCAGGTAAGATGATTTGAAAGTATATTACATATACCTACGTCTTTTGATTAACTCTTTACTCTAGCATATAATGAATTACACATAGAATGTCTGAGTTTTCGTAGTGGTTGAAACAAGCCATGTAAATGAACAATGGAATGACTTCCTAACTGCACCATTAGTTCACTTCTACTTAGTAAAGGAGAAATTGGTGAAGACTTGATTGTATTAAATTGTTTCGTCTTGAATAATTTCTTCAATAAGTCTGTAACAGTATATTTTTCTAGATTATATAACTGTGTCGGTCTAGATAACGACTGGTTTTTGCATGAAAGTCATGTGATTTTTGCCTACAATGACAACTTTTCTAATCACAGTAGGTACAGGTGTCCATCCCATTACTGCTCTAATTGTCATTTATATTTCCTGTGACCGAGTACATAGTACTTGCCCACCTGCCTGATATGTACAGTAAATTAACTAGTCTGTTGTAGAACGACGGATATAATCCTTCTTAGTATAAAATAACCGTTAGGACCCGTTTATCATCAAACACTACAGGCAATTATCATTACAGCAGGTGTACAACAATATGGTCAGGCTTTTATTTTGACAAGCAAGACTGTTAGTGTTTACAATGTTTCTTCCATGCAAATCCTATTATACTGGGAATATCATAGTTCGAGAATGTTTTGCAGTTTTCTTCAGCCCTAATATTAGAGTTCAGCTGCCAACCAAACCATAACTCTTCCAATTTAAGGCTTAACAAAATCCACAATATCAATTATTAAAAGCTTACCATTACTAATCGATGACCATTTTTTGAATTGATTTTCATAATTAATGATTAGCTGACGATAGCTTCTCAGTGTTTTCGGTGACAAAGTTCATCCAGAATCATAATGCAATCACTCTGGATTCCATTTTTTGTACGTAATTGTATCTTATAAAAGCTAAACTACATTTTTAGCCTAATATTTTTCTAGTTTTTAAGTAGTCCTGAATATTGTGCTTCGCGAAGACTAGCTGTTTATATTAGCCTCCCTGAAGAACCCAACACAATACCAGTAATTGAAAAAGCACTTCTTGACGGAAAGAGTATATTTGTTCCACAAATTATGTTTTCTGCGTCAGACGATTCTCCTCCTATGTGTATGCGTCATGTTAAATCACTGAAAGAGATTGAATCCTGGAGGTCTAATAAATGGGGGATTAAAGAACCTGAACCAGTTTCATATGTTGAACAGCTGGACGAAATTACAGGTCAGGGTAAATACTGTATCTAATTGTATATTGCTAAGGTTAATAAAAAACTTTACTTGAATTATCAGTTATGTTGATCGATAGAAGCTACAAAGAAACAGACTTCTTAAACCAAGAGTTTCTTCATTTTGATGAATGGAATTAATGGATTATTAGTTTTCTTTTAAGCTTGTATAAATGGATGGACACCAACCAAAGCAGCAGTGGTTCTAAACCATAGAATAGCAGCAAATTTGGCTTATATACAGGTTTACATACATGACGGTGATAAAACTCCTAACCAGAAAACGAAGTAACATTTCGGTTACGAGATAAGATGTACAAATATTCATAGTGATTAATAAATCTGACCAGTATTTAGAAGTCTTGTCTAAGTTTCAGACATTTTGCAAATGGTAAGAAATAGACTCTACTGGCTGACTTCCGAAGGCCGAACAGTCAGTCAGCTACAACGTAGGACCGGGCACATATATGCATCGGTTCAAGTTGCCATACCTCATTAACACAACAAGATGGACACCGGATTCATAAAAGTAGTTAATTCAGAGGTGGTAATATATAAAAGAAAGATTGCAATAAGGATATAGTACATGAAGAAAGAATTAGTTCGTAGAAAGGAAGATATGAAGCACTTTCAATCTCACGGTTTAAGGGAAGACAGAGGGTGTATACACCTACGACATTGTGATCGATTTTGAGCCGTCACAAAGAGTCTCCAACCATTGGTTACGATAGTCATGCGGACCCCAACCAAGTATCCCTTAACAGAAATGTGATTTTGTACATTAGTTTATTCTGAAATAAGTCTTTTCAGTGGGATTTTATCGAGGGAAGCTTCTTGGTGTTATATTCGTTGGTCACTGTTTATACCCGTTTAGAGCATATCGTTCATTTTGTAACTGCCTCTTTTACAGGTGGATTGGATTTATTTGTTGTACCTGGTTTGGCCTTCACACGAAGTGGACATCGTCTTGGTCGAGGTGGCGGATATTACGACCGATACATACAATGGTACACTGGGCAGTGTCATTTAGGGACTTTCCAAAGAGCTAAATTAGTCGCCTTTGCATTTGAGGAACAAATAATAGACCATATTCCTTCAGAAACTCATGATATAATTATTGACCAGCTGTTTGTAGCATAGTTATGTACGTATGTATTCAGAGAAATATATTGCAGAAAAGACTACACCTATGGTCTTTTGGCCCTTATCACTGAAGTTCAGAGTTTATGGTAAGATGTCAAAACAAATTGTTGATAGGGTCCTAGTACAATAAAAGATATTCACTTATCACTAGTCAGTATTCCTTGGTATAACAGACGTTTACCTGTGGAAAGCATTTAGCTACTCCAAACCCAAGGTCGCATGCCACAATGGGGTAACGGTACCGCGATACTGGACACAGATAAACATATTTAAGCTATAATTTAAGTAACTGGAAGCCTTTCCATAGAACTTGTTAACTAAGAAATGCTGGCAAACAACTAAGAACCAAGTCATATGAGTTAATGTTGCCGAAAATATATGCACGCAATGAGTGAGTATACTCGGAAAAGTAACAAACAGTGATGATGGACACTTCTGCGCAGCGTTCACGGTATGCTCGAGCAGATAAAATATTTAATGCATGCTAGTCGTCTAACGATCACAACGATGTTATTAGATTTAGGTGGTATGTCTTTCAGAGTGGGGAAGCGCAGTAAATCAACGTTTTTGGCGCAGTCAAATAACCAGCCTCAGGACCTGATGCGACGTCCTCAGTATACACAGCGTGTCCCCGTATTTTGTTGGTTTTCTTAACTAGGTAATTTAACAGCCCCTAATTGGCAGAAGATACCTCCTTCCCCCGAATTCCCTGGTTCGGCCGAGAGTATGGAGAACCCACTCTCCTTCTCGAAATGCTCTCACATGGCCACGCGTATATAGCCTATGCCAGGGAAGTCCTACTCACTGCCTTCTCGCACCGTGTTTTTTATGAAGTTGAGAGGACAAAAAGCGAATGTCCGGCGCTTTAACCGGGTTGGTGTACATGGAGAATTCGCCTAGGGGAGTTAAAGAAACCTGATTTCAGACCAATGGTGCACATGGTCCCCGGTATCCTGTTGGAACAAATGGCGCATGAACCAATCGTTGGCCGCCGGATCCCATGGGACCGCATCTCCTGACGTTGCTCCACCGCCCTGTGTATCAGACCTTTGGGCCGAAGACTCTGAGTGTGAACCCCTGCTTTCGTCTGGACACCCGGGCAGCATCAAAGTGCTCACACAAATTAGATGGGATTTGTGTGGCGCATATTTGGCGCCTCCTTTTACCAATATCTGTGTTCAAATAAATAACTGATAGAAGAGTGAATCTTCCTTTCGGTGGCTGTCTAGCCTACTCATATGGTAACATTGAATATCTATGAGAACTAAACCAACCTACTTATGTTGGCAGAATGCCACGAAACCCCCAAAATGTTTGAGTTTCCCCCAATATATCCGCAGAACCTTGTAACACTGTATTTTTTTCAAAATAGGGAAACTGGTGACATGGACAGCATTGGCCAGTGGTCAGCAGAGAGAACATGACCTGCCGATACCGACCAGTGGAGCTAATCAACCATATTGTAGGAGATCAGTTGACAGATGAGCGAATAAATAGAGCTGGTGTGGTTTGTTATAGGATTTCTGCAATTAAGACTATGCAGATCAGAAGCCAATAGCACATAAGAGACTATACAATACAGGCAGAATGAGTCTCATTTGTAACTGATTTACCGCACATTAGCTTGTCATACGAACGCTCCAGCGATAAGAACATATAACAGTCTTTTTGGTAATCTTTAACTCACAAGCTAGATGTAGAACTTAAGAAAATGACAGGAAGTATTCCCATAACTACTAAAAACAACGAGTCAGTGCTCGGTGACTTTGTTCAAAAATCATCAAACGGCTAACTTGGGATGCTGAAGACGCATTAAAAATTTGTAGTCCGCATCGATGAGCGAAGAAAAAAGCTCTTAAGATCATGCATCTGATTCAGGACACAGAGAGATTTACAACCTCATCAACCGATTTACCATCATCCCCTAACACCCTGCGTCTAACCTCACTATTACTTACCTGGTGATCGCAGCAGATGCGAGCAATATTCATAAGGCATCTATGGTCAAATACTAGTAACTTACGAGTATCTTCTCTTAATAGCCACGTTTCGCAGCCGTAAAGTATATCAGGACAAGCTGCTGCGCAGTGTACTCGTCCCTTAGTTAAAAGACGGATATCTCGCCCTCGCCATAGGTGACGTTAGCTGGCAAAAGCCAAACGAGCTTTTTGAACCAATGCTGAGATTTCGTCAGACATCAATCTGTTATGGCTGGCCAGACTTCCAAAATAAGTCAAGTTGTCGACGCATTTAACTACTTCACTCCCTATCCCTAGTTCCGGTATTGACGCACGTCAGTCCTGAAGCAACAACTTGCATTTAGAGGAGAAGAAACGCATACCAAACATCCTCGTATTGTTGCTCAGCGGCCTGCGTTAGTCCTGGAAATGATGGTCTCTTAGTTGATCCAACTTCTTTTTGAAAGAGTCGACGAATGGAGCATCAACTATGCGCTGAGGTAATGAATTCCATTCATTGATGATTTGATGGGAAAGTCGATAGTCGGTTGACAAGTAATCTGCTTTGAGCTTGTGAACATTTTTGGAGTCTTCGTAAATGTATTACTTATAAGACTGATCCCAGATAAGAAATATATATCGGATACAAGATTTGGCTGATAAGCAAGATGATGTTGATAAGAATGAGGCAATACAGACTTGCTTTTTCCACTAACTTAATAACCAAACATATACTTGAATATTCCCGAGGTTAACCTTATGGTAGACAGAAGAAGGACAGTAACTTGGGAGCATTATTTTATTTGTAAATACATTTTAAGGATTGTAGAGCTATTTGTCCGTGAAAACCAAACCCACTATAAGTATTAGTAGACTTATAAAACACTAGGTTATATTACCTATGAAGATAGCTGTGACCGAGAGTGCGAAGCTGACCAGTTCTTTACGGAAGTGTTGAACTGCCATTCTCTCCATTTCAACGGCTGATACTCTACTATACTCTGGAGGAAACTGAAACATCTGTAGGTTGATAAGGATCGCGCAGCGCAAATTCTTAACCTAACGCCAAATAAGTCTGAAAGTTTCAAGGTCATGACTACCTATTTTTATGGCGAGGATATTCTGATTTCTAGACTGAACAACTTTCCACTCTTTTATATGATTTTTAGACCTATTCTTTTGACAGGTGTTTAAAATTCATTAAATAAGTGCTTGACGGACAAATGTACAATTACTCGGAATTCATGGATTTAAGTTATACCGCTATAAAATACCTAGAAATGCTAGACGGCCGTTTCATCATTATATGAGACTCTTTAGCAGGACAGATTCATGGCTTTGCATACAGGACTGGAAGTCAGGCTCTTTGATTGCGTACAAACAATGTAGATTACTACGAGCCATCCCATACTAAGACGAACGGTCTTTTAGTCTCCGGGTTGTCAATGTTGGTCTAGCTTATGTCGGCTCATGATCTCAACTTCGAGAGGCAATTCTAGTGTAAAACCGTGATCAGTGGAAGCAGTTATATATTGAAGGCAATAGATGATAGTCGCAACGTACATTGGATTGTTTGACGTCTGACATTAACATTATTGGATCACGGCTCTTTGACCTGAAGGTTAAGCGTTCACTCACGAGGCCGTAGGTCATGGATTGGAGCCCTGTTTGCGGGGTCGTGGATACGCACTGCTAATGAGTTCTACGCCAGAACGAAGCTGCCATTCAGTGCTTCCAGGTTTTTGATGATTGGTTAACTCAGATCGGTTCATGGTCTCAATGGGATTCAATAATATGTGCAACTTCACACCAGAAAAAAATTGTCGTCCCGCCTTTTATTTCGCACTAACTCCTGCTTAATTGTTGGCGTGTACTTGTAAACACATAAATTTTCATGAATATGTATATGTTTACCTGAATATTTGCGTCATATCATAGTACTGTCGTCTTTGTCCAAGAGATTTATCACAAGTATGTGTAATATCTGTAGCCTAAGCTTGATATTTGTTGATGCCAGTCTTCTACCTTTTGACTACTTGATAGCCTTGCTTGAGGAAGGGCAGGTCTTAATGTACAACCTATTGAGCACAAGTTTGAATGATGACGTATTTACTACTGATCTGGCGAAATATTTTTAAAGGGATTGTCCTTGGTCGCATTGATAATAACTGACAGCACAGGTTTTGTTAGTAATTCAGATAGTTGTGGTGGGTATACCTTGAATTGGCCATCATTAAATAAACTGTTTTTAATCTGTGCCGAGAATTCGTTCGTAACAGTCTGCTATCTTTCCGCTTAAATATACTGAGTATCCGTAATTTATGATACAGTCGAACTGCCATCGGTTTACGCATCGTAATTCGTTAAGCGCGTTCTGAAAATGATCCAAAAGAGAAAAGTCTATTGAACATCAGCCTTTAAAACTGCTCATTTATATCAGCCGAACCATTTCGGCAACTGGAGGCTTGGTTAGTAACGCTAGGCATTTTCCTGTCGATGTAAATAAACAGTCCTTATATTTGCATGTTGTTGTGTTTACAGATATTACGTCATATTTAGAGTCTAATATGATCTTTAAAGAAGCGGATATAACGACAGCTATCCAATGGAATATTACTTAAGAACAAATGCAGTGTTTGCATTAAAAAAGTACAATACCACTCAATGTCATGTAGCAGATTCAACCTGAACCTGATAATTCATCCATGCACACCAAAAAGATTTGTGCCATAATACTGTCTTTTAAAAAAAACAATCTTTTACAACATGCTGACATACAAAAAAACCATTTTGAGAGTAACCGGATTTCGTATTTACAATAACGCGCTTACTTTTGGTGACGTTGCAGTTCATAGTATAGACGCCGGTGACGGTTATATTTCTGTAATTTGTGTCCATCACATTCAACCACGTTGTTCAACACAGATGTTTGTTGAAGTGTTTGAGCTAAATTCCTCCTCTCTGTGGAAGACAATCTTTTACTTCGCCGATTGCAAACTATAAGGCTAGCAAAACACCTTGGCTGTGAACCATCTCAGA